ACCTAGGCTGTGGTATTTTCAATCACCTCATATGCTTGCAAAAGCTGGACAATGAATAAGGAAGACCGAAGAAGAATTGATGCCTTTGAATTACGGTGTTGGTGAAGAATATTGAATATACCACTGACTGCCAGAATAATGAACAGATCTGTCTTGGAAGAAGTACAGCAAGAATGCTCCTTAGCAGCAAGGATGGCAAGACTTCATCTCGTGTACTTTGGACATGTTGTCAGGAGGGACCACTCCCTGAAGAAGGACATCATGCTTGGTAAAGTAGAGGGTCAACGAAAGAGAGGAAGACCCTCAATGAGATGGAATGACACAGTGGCTGCAATGATGGGCTCAAGCGTGGCAACAACTGTGAGGATGGCACAAGAGTGGGCAGTGTTTCGTTCTGTTGTACATAGGGTTGCTGTGAGTCAGAACCAACCTGATGACACCTAACAGTAACAACATTTTCTTTATGATTGGGAAGGCACTTTTGTATTTTTACTCCTTGATAGTTATCAATCAGAATGTTTCATGTTTTGTGATATTCTAGTTGGCTTTAATCTGCACCAACTTCTTGAACTTTTTCAAAATTATCATTTTAAAGATCCACACCATTAAGTATTTTTAAAACTAGATCCTCACGTTTCCTAAAATACTTAAAATAATGATTTGCCTAAATTAAGTACATAACTTCAAGTGCTTAAATGCAAGATTCAGAATTGTCAGAAGACACCATAACAAATGAAAAGGATATTGAGATACATTTATTCTTATTTAGAAACCAACTTGACTCTATTAGGTTCTAATACCAAAAATATTATTAGAGAAAGCATGAAATGATAGCCAAATGGACCATCCAGACTATATTAAACTGTATATGTAGTGTTTTATGTATGAATAGTAGCCATTGATTATCTTCTAGGATACGTGGTAAAAGCTCATGTTTTAAATGAAGAAGTCATAAATTGCTAACTGTACCTCTTCAATTTAAAAGGATTTTTATTTGGGAGGTTGCTGCTACTACTGGTGAGGTCTCTCCAATTCACTCGCTGATATACTACAGCCATGCTTAAATGTGAGCTTAAGGTTGGTTAAGTGCTGGCAATTTTGTATTGTGCCCCAGAACTGCATGTTACTGTCAGAGGCATATAAGAAGCATGTAAATTGACTATTTTTCTGGCTTTTGGTTGTGATATATTAAATTTATTTGATGAAAAGGATCAAAATTTAATGCAACTTTAATGCCAAGCTTAAGAAAAAAA